TTGTTTTAAGTGAGCTGGTTCATGGTACTTGTTATGGCCCTTCTAGTAAACTTAAACATCGTGCTTTCCCCTTCTGTTCCTGCATGGAGTGAGGCTATTGTGGATCACATGCATGACCCAGGAATCAGGTTATGGGAAGTACATAAAGACCGCCCAGGCTCTGCCCATTCTGTCCTCCTCTGCTAAGACAGAGAGATTGAACACAGATTCTTACTGGCCTTACTGTTAGGAGGGCTCTGACTTGCCCAAGATACAGAGTAAGTCGTTGAAGCTCAACTCAGGCAGCTCAGGACTCGAGGTCACGCAGATTCGAGTGCACAGCCTGGCCTCACTGCATCACGCCATTGAGAACTGCAACAAGTGACATAACTTCCCTAAGACCCTGTTTCTCCAGCTGCACATTGGGTATAAAACTGCCATTTCTAGGGCTCTTGTGAAAATCACACATAATATTACAGGAAGGAAACCTAGTACCATGCTTAGCACATAGCAGGTGCCCAGGAAATCCTAACTAATGAAGAGGATATTGATAATTTTGGTGACTGCTGGCAAAAGTGGGATTCTCACCCTGGTCTCCTGATGCCCCAGGGCAGTGTCCATCAGTCCAGCCTGTCTCCGCCCCCAGTGCTCTTCCATTCTTCTCTTTGCTGCCCCCCCCACCCCACCCCGAGATTGGGGCAGCTCTAAGATCCGACAGACCTTAAATCCTGGGCTCCACAAGCGAGATGAAGGATTGAGCCACAGAGTTAAGAAAACACCAGTGTCTGCTTTAAGCTCTTTTTCTGTCTTGTGCTCAGATTCTTCATTCCCTAGCCTGACACAATCACTTCTCTTGACTTGGTAATGGCCCCTGTGTCAGGTCTTTGTGTTTTAAGTAATGTTTCCCTCATGTAACTGATGTTTATGCGGAATCAATCCTTTTAAAAGCGGACAGCCTTTGTATTTTTATAACTTGAACTGTCTCCAGGTTCCACAGAAAGGTGACATGTTTTAGCTTGTTTTTCACTTCCCTTTCCTTGTTTCTTTGTTGTCCGGTTCTGCTCTCCATGGCTCTGTGTTTTCTTTTCTTTTCTTTTTCTTTTTTTGAGACAGAGTCTCACTCTGTCTCCTAGGCTGGAGTGCAGTGGTGCCATCTTGGCTCACTGCAACCTCTGCCTGCTGGGTTCAAGCGATTCTCCTGCCTCAGCCTCCTGAGTAGCTGGGACGACAGGCACGAGCCACCACGCCCGACTATTTTTTGTATTTTTAGTAGAAACGGAGTTTCACCATGTTGGCCAGGCTGGTCTCGTACTCCTGACCTCAAGTGATCCGCCTGCCTCAGTCTCCCAAAGTGCTGGGATTACAGGCATGAGCCACTGTGCCGGGCCTCTGTTTTCTTTCTCACTCAGTGTCTTTCTCTTCCCTTTCATTCTGTCTTTTCTGCATTTGTCTCCTCCTGCTCCCTTTTCTCATTCCCCCTTCCACCTTCTCTCCCTCTCCTCAGCACACTTACTCATTTGTTCTGTTTACCTTGAGGATGTCTCCTCTTTTCATCTGTTTCTTACGCCTCTGTTTCTTTCTTTGCTTTCTTTTTCCAATTCTAACTTTTCATTTTTATCTGTTCACATTCTTTCTCTCCTCTATTTGCCTTTCTTTTCCTCTCTGTCTCTATGACCTGTGTCCCTCTATAACTCTCTGTCTCTCTGTCTGTCCATCTATACTTTATCTGTTTCCAGGTGACTGTATGTGTTTCTGTCTCTCTGTGTCCCTTCTTTCCTTCTCAACAGTTTCTCTATCTGTTTGTCTCTTATTCTCTCACTTTCTCAGGTCCTTCTGTCTTTTTTTTTTTTTTTTTTTTTTTTGAAATGGGAGTCTTGCTCTGTCACCTAGGCTAGAGTGCAATGGCAGAATCTCGGCTCACTGCAACCTCTGCCTTCCGGGTTCAAGCAGTTCTCCTGCCTCAGCCTCCCGAGTAGCTGGGATTACAGGAACATGCCACCATGCCCGGCTAATTTTTTATATTTTTAGTAGAGATGAGGTTTCACCACATTAGCCAGGATAGTCCTGATCTCCTGACCTAGCCCGCCTAGGCCTCCCAAAGTGCTGGGATTACAGGCGTGAGCCACCGTGCCCAGCCGGGTCCCTCTGCCTTATCTCCTCCCCTTACTTTCCATTTCTTCTTCTCCCTTCTAGGGTATTAATATTTTAATAGGCTTAATGTCTTCCCAGGATCCTCAACTCTCTTCATGATTCAAAAGTGGCAAGTCTCCCCAGAGGTTCATTTCAGGAACTGTTAATTCTCCTCTCCCATAAACCTGTCACCTGGCTGCATACAAAGTTAGGAAGCCAGGGATAATCCTGGCAGCGCCTCATCCTTCTCCTTTGTCCCTGTGCTGCATCCCTGAACAGGAAGGATTTGGAACGGGGACCCAGAGTTGGGGAAACAGAGAAGACTGCCCTGCTGAGGAGGTTCTTAGTAAAACTACTCACTGGTGAAGACTGCGTCTAAGCCTTTGAGTGTTTTCTGTGTTTCATTCGAAAACGTTTACCTAGCACAGGTTCCTTCCAGGCCCCTGGAGGGCTAAAGAGAAATGAATAAATCTTGAGCCTTTTCCTTTAAAAGCTTATAGTCTCTCTGGGAGACTGTGAAGCTGATAATTAAGATCAATAAGTTAAAAGATTTAGCCAATATGCTCACAGGGAAAAGGAATTAATTCTAGTAGGGGGAAGCAGAGAAGGTTTCATAAAGGTGGTAACATAAAGCTACTGTGTAGTTCGGGAGTCAGGACCTTGCCTAATGTCACTGCCGTGTCCCCAGCACCTAGCATTGTGCCTAGTACATGGTAAGCACTCAGTAAGCTTGTATAATATATGAAAGAATGAATGAATGAATGAATGAATGAATATGAAGAGTTTTCAAAGACAGATTCTTAGGATTTCATCAGGTAAGCATTTGGAAATGGGCATCCCAGGCAGAAGGAAGAGCATGATTAGGGATGGAGAGAGGTGCCTGCAGGTACCACACCCAGATACCCTCTTCAGAGCCAGCCCACCCCCCCACCAGCTGTGGCTGTCAGTGACTAGGCATTGCCTTCAGCCTCAGGGAACTGGCTTATCCAAGTGTATCCCATTCCAGACAGCAGCCCCCACCAATGACTGGCTACTGTGGGGATGCAAAGGCCTGGATTCCTTGCCTTAATTCAGGACATCCATAAAGGGCCTTCTCAGCTCCAGAGCTCCCGGCAGGATCAACTGATGCTTTAGACCCGCATTGTAGGTCAGTCTCTCCCTTTACCAAATCCTGCCTTGTTTGCTTGCCATTTATTTTTTATTTTTTATTTTATTTTATTTTGAGACAGGGTTTTGATCATGGCTCACTGTAGCTCAAGAGATCCTCTCGCCTCAGCCTCCTGAGTAGCTGGGACCACAGGCATGCTCCTCTAAACCCTGTTAATTAAAAAAAAAACTTTTGTAGAGACAGGGTTTTGCCACATTTTCTAAGCTGGTCTTGAACTCCTGGGCTCAAGTAAGCCTCCTTCCTAGGCCTCCTAAAGTGCTGGGATTACAAGCGCGAGCCACCACGCCCAGCCCTTCCTCGCCTTCTACAGATGCATCTCCCAAGAGGGCTCGTCAATAAACCTCTTGCATGTAACTTTCCAGTTTAGAACCTGTTTTCAGAGATTCTGTGTTCAGGGAATGAGATGAGGCCTGTACCTAGTGGATAGAGATATGAGGAGAGGGTCAATGGGGCTGGACAGGTAATCAGGGACCAGATTATGAAGTCCGAATGCCAGAGAAGTTAATTTATATTTTTTCTCTAAGTACTGGGAAGCTATTGATCAGAGGAGTATCTAATTAGAGTTGGGATTTACCAAGTTCACTGACAGTCAGTATGAAAGATGGGACAGAAGGGGTAGGACTGGAGGCAGGAAATGAATTAGGAGTTTCAAACCTGGTCCAAGCCTGAGGTGGAGAAGAATGGGAGAAGGTATGCAGGATGGTGCAGAGATACCCCCTCTAGTGTGTGCTAGCCTCTTCCTGCTTCATTTCCCTTGCTTCACAGCTCTGGACCTCATGAGGCACAGACCAGGGAAGGATATGTGCTTCTTCTCACTGCTCATGGTGCTCCTTTAAAATCTCCTGTAAGTGTGGAAATCATATACCCCAGTGCAAGTGTATCTCTTATTTTGGGCCCTTTCTGCAGAAGACAGCATCAGAAGCTCCCATCTGTATCCTCCATTGTAGAGAATTCCATCTCATAAAATTTTGGCAGATCCATGGATTATGGTATCAAGTCTAGTCTTATCTTTTAAGAACCTCATTTGGGAGGAATCATGTATTTCCCTGGAATCCCATGACCTTTCCAACAACTGTTGCTGACAGTCTCGATGGTGTGACTTATACACAATAGTCTGAAAAATAAGGATCTAGGGCCCTAGAGGGTCAGACTCCTGTGTTTATGTCTTGGCTCTGCTGTTTATAGACTGTTGGATTTGGAGTCAGTCCCACAATCTTTCATAGTTTCAATTTTATATTCACAAAGTTGGAATAATAGGAATGTGCCCAATTGCAGAGTTGCTATAGGGAGCTCTGAAATCTGTAGAAACAGGTAGGATGCAAGCTAAGAGGTAGTGAGAAGAGCCTTCTCTTTGGACTCAGCTGGAAGTTAATACAAACTTCACTTCTGTCACATTGTAAGCTGCTGGCCTTCAGCAAGATACTTCACCTTGCTAAGCCACAGTTTACTTATAGTAAAGTGTACATCTCATGACTGCCTCCAAGAATCATAAGTATTAATGAAATAAAGAGTATAGAGTTCTAGGTCTATTTCTCTGTATCACAACTTGACAAGCACCGTGTCATATGATGGTATACCTGTTGTTGTTTCCTTTTTGTAATATTGATTGTTATTATTTTCCTGATTATAAATAAGTTATGGTTTCAAATGTATTGAATTCACATTTTTTTAAATCTAGGGATGCCAATGTCTCTGGGGTTTAACCATCCCCTTTCTCTCCAAGGGAAGAAGCGATGCTGTCCACATACTTTGAAACCATCAATGACCTGCTGTCCTCCTTCGGGCCAGTTCGTGACTGCTCTCGGAACAATGGGGGCTGCACTCGCAACTTCAAGTGTGTATCTGACCGGCAGGTGGACTCCTCAGGATGTGTGGTAAGTGCCCATTGGCCCAGGAACATGGCAGTGGCCCAGGTGCTAAGGCCACCTGCTGGAAGCCCTGCCCTGTGAGGGAATGCTGGTAAGGAGGATAACACTCGCACTACCCTCACCTACCTCTGCAGCCTTCAGCATGCCAACCTACCTTGGTTTCCTCACCTGTAAAGTGAGAACATTATACATACCTCTTGGAATTGCTGGAAGAATGAAACAAGATATTATAACTTAAGTGCCCACCACACAATAGGTCTTGGAGAACTTCTGACCTTCAGAAGCTTACAGTCCATTTGAGAGTAAGACAGGGAATGCCTTGCCTCTGTGAATACAATAGTAGGGGGAATGTCAATGAGGTGTAACTAGTATGGACAGGAGGTGCTTTGGTGTGGTCCAGAAGAGAAAGTTTCAGCTGGGACCTCAGTTTCATAGAAGGCTTCCTTGGAACGTTGGCTTTTGGCTTTCGCTTTGGCTTCAAAAGATGAGTCAACTTACATTAGGGAAAGAGGGGAGACAGTCAAGCAAAGACATGAAGGAAGGGAGAGGCAGCCTTGTTTGCTTGGAATTTTAGTATCTAGTGTGGGACAAGGTCACAGAAGAAGAAGTGGGAGGGTTCCTATTGCTTGCAGAAGGGTGTGCCAAAATTGATGGTTTTATAAGAATGACCTAAGATACAGGGTTTGACCTCTAGAAGCTTTTATTCTAGAGAGGAAATTAGGTCCCAGGAACCTGACTTTTTAACGTGTGTGTGTGTGTGTGTGTGTGTGTATGTTGGGGTATCTTGAAAATACACTTGGGAAACATTGCCACATAGGCTAAACTCAGCCTGGCATTCAATGTTCTTCTTTCTGTAGTCCCTTTTCAGTCTCTCCAGCCACATCTCTTATTGCTTCATTTCAATCTACACTAGAGCCTAATGGAGCTAATTAGATGGGGTTCTATGAACTTGCCTGCCTGTTTCATTCCTCAGAACCTTTTCTTGTACCTTCTCTCTGCCTAGAAAGAATTGCTTTCCAAGCCTATGAAACAAGTGAACATCTTTCCCGAGACATCTCCTTTATAAAACCTTTTCCCTCCCCACAGGTGACCTTCTTTTCCATACAGTATCCTTACTGTATGCTGTGCTTAGCTTTATTAAGTCACTTGTGACACATTATAGCACAGACTGGCTTTTCAGTTTATGTTTCTTAAAAAACTGAGGGAGAACCCAGGGAATCTGTTGATTTGGCTCAACACCCCAAAAGTACCCATCTCAGTAAATAAAGAAAAAAGAAAGAAGAAGAAGCGAAGGATAGAAGCAGGGATGGGAATCCTGCTGTGGACAAGGCTGTCTGAATAAGACCCAAGGGAGATAGAACACACACTTGGCCCTTAATGCAGCTACACACCAGCTGAGAAACAGACAGAGGTCAGGAGATCAATATGAAGAAGCTTCTAGAATGAGATAATGCAATGAAACTATATTTGAGATGCAAAGATCAACAGATCTTCAGAGGTGAATGGGCAATTAGAAATTTTAGTGATTAGAATTCTCAGGATTACAAGTGATAGAAACTAAACTCAAACTAGTATAGGCAAAAAAAAAAAAAAAAAGGAAATGCATTGGCTTAAGTTGAAGTCTGGACAAAATTGGATTGAAGGGCTCAAGCAATGTCATTGGAATCCCCCTGCTAATCTTAGCTCTGCTTTCCTTAGCACTGTGCCATTCTCGGGCCAGCTGCAGTCTGGATGCAAGTCCTATAGGACAAAAACGCCTCTTTCCTAGTGCCTCCAACTACTGTCATCAGATTCCTTCTCATTGGGCCAACTTGGTTGTCATGCCCATCTATCCCTGCACCAATTACTGGTCAGGGGGATTAACTGGGCTCATCCCAGAGCGAGCCATGCCTGGAGCTTGCACCAGGAGGCAGCTACACCTGAAATGCATGGCCCTGAGATGGGGGAAGGCATAGATTCTCAAGAAAAACTGGGGTGCTGGCAATAAGAGTTGTAGATGCTAGATTGATATACATCAACAGCTGTCTGCCTCAGACCATTGAAACCTAACCCTTCATATAGCACATTGGAAAGGTGCTAGTGGGGGAGAGGAGGATTTGCTCAAGACTTAAACCCAGCCAGTGGACAGGCAGCTCAAAAGGATGTCCTGTGTTATGTCCAGAACATGAGGCTGACCTTTTTCAAAGGATTAAGTTGTCTGCCTCTTTCCTTTTTTCCATTAGTTCTCTTTTCTCTAATCAAGATCCTTGTCTTTTTTCTTTTAGGATAGACATCCCATAGGAATGAAACCTCAAATACAGAGGGGTGTGTGTGTGTGTATAGGTTGGGCTTATGTCTCTTTGTCTTTTATTCACATAAACTGGAACAATTAAAAGAGAAAGAAAGAGAAAGAACATTCATTCCCTAGGGGATAAGAGAAAATTCAACGGTCTGATGAAGTTGTCAAAGACCCTCCTCTCTAGATTAAGGATGTAATTTTAAAACCACTACTTTAGGGTTCAATGGATGTAAGGCAAGCTCCTCTCTGTGCTTCAGAATAGACAGGGCAATCCCATGTTTATCCTGAGATTTTAAATCCCTTTCATTTCTCTGTAGACTTTCCATCATGTCTGTAAAGAGAAACTTCTTCTCTTAGGTCACCTTCTAAGAAATTCCTTCAGGTATTACATAATAATGCCTTATATTTTTAGAATACTTTAGAGTTCTCAAAGCATGTCTACAAGCTAAGAGCTCATCCTCACAACAAACCTGGGCAGTAGTAGATTCCCTCAGGAATGCGGAACAGGCTCAGGAAGCAGTGACTTTCAAGGTCTTACCACCAGGTGGCAGGGTGGAAGACCAAGACTGTGTCTCACTATCAGTCCTCCTGCCAGGGCCACTTTGGCTTGCTTTCCCACACTGGGAGCTGAGATGAGTTCTTGTTGAAGAATCATGGAAAGGAGACTGGGCTGAGTGATTTGGGCTAAAGCCTGGATTTAGGCATTAGAATGACCATAGCTTTGGAGTCTATGTTGACTTCATTAGCATCAGTTTCTTAATCTTTCAAAAGGGAGCAATGGTACTTATAAATTTTTCTTAAAAAAAAAAAAAAACTCAAAAGGCTCAAAGAACATAACTGACAATGATCTGGGATTTACAAAGTACCATTTATAAGTGAGATAATGAGACCACATTACTGATATTTGTATGTAGTGGATATATATGCGGCCACACAAATTTAGGAGCACAGCATATCTAATGTTCTATAACGTTTCTGTAACTGAATTTCATTTCATTTCTGTTCCATTGTTAGTGGAAACTTAACTCTAGTCAATTTCAGTTTTTTTCTGCCTCCCATCTCTTAACTGAACATTTGAGTTCAAAGGGCTGATGTACCCGTAAGGCCTAGGAGCTAAGGGGATGTTTGGTGCTGGGCCATCACTTTTTAATCTGGTACCTGCTCCTTCATTTGACCCTTGTCCATCACTCTCCTTCCTCTCCATTCCCACCTGAATCACAGGTGTGTAGTACAGCTGCTGCCTCATCTGCTTTATTCCACCACAAGGTCATTTAAAGCCAGCTGACTCTGTCCACCAGCTAGCTTTTCCAGCCTCTAGAGGGCATGAGAAATGTCTAACAGTTCCACCTGGAGGATCTGAGAAAACCTGTCTGGAGCTCTTTTGATCTAGACATGCCAGGAAAGGATCTATACTCCGCTGTTTTCACAGTGGGGAGGAGCACTCACTATGCTTGCTGTCAACCTGTGCTATATAGCAAGGGATGCCCAGAACCCCTTTACCTTCATAACCCTCAAGCCCACCTGATATTCTGTATCCCCTCATCCCCTTCATCCACTCATGGGCTTAGCCTGGTAAGGATAGAGGATGGGACCCCTTTTACGATACTCATTAGCATTTTCTAGATTACTTTGTTTGACTTCCAACATTCCTCTCTTCCACCAGCTCAAATGACCTTTACTTCTTTGTAGATACGAGGCAAGATAATTCTCTAACAGATCACAGATTCTTCTGTTGTTTTATTATTGTCATTATAATGATGATTATTGTTTTACCTTCTATAATAGCTCTGCCTTCTAGACCTCAACTTTTGAAACACAAGATTTTAAAAATCTGACATATTTTTGCTCAGCTTTCTGGTTCTGCTGTGGGAGGCTTCCCTTTGGATAATGTGTTTCTCATACAGGTAACTGGTCAATTGGAGGATGGCCACAAGATGTGTAGTAGGCAAAATAATGGCCCCTGCAAAGATGTCCACATCCTAATTCCCAGAACCTGTGACTGGTATGTTACCTTTCATGACAGAGGCAGGAATTAAATTTGCATACAGAATTAAGATGACTAGCTGACCTTAAAAGAGCGAGAGTATCTTGGATTGTCACAGTGTGCTCAGGAAGGCAGAGGAGTGGGGTAGAGAGAGGCAGCATTGCCAGTTATGAAGTTGGAGGAAGACAGTTACGTGCTAAGGAAGAGAAGTGGTGTTTAGAAGCTGGAAAAGCAAAGAGAAAGACTTACCTCTGGAACCTTCAGAAAGGAATGCAACCCTGCCAACACCTAAATTTTAGCCCATTGAGACCCAAGTTGGACTTTTAAATTGTAGAACTGTGAAATAATAAATTTGCGTTACTTTAAACCACCAATTGCGTAGTAGTTTGCTACAATAGCAATAACATACTGATAATAAGTAAAAGATCATATGAGGAGGGTGATACAGTAAATAATATATAAATAATTATGCTACTATTTTTATTTTCAGTTATTTACAAGGAGATCATATCCCTTGACCAGGGATAGAGGAAGTAACAGTGAATGAAACATCAGAAAAGAGAGGGAGCCTGTGTTCCCCTTCAGTATTTCCAAGAGTGAAAAATTGTTGTGTGTTGGAAATGTTATAAATCTGACAAACATAATGATGTCAGCAAGGCACAGTTTGAAATGTAAGCTATGGGTCCATTTATTCTGTGTGGCAGTATAAACACTGCAAAATTTTAATCAAGATAGAGAACAAAG